GAGGCCACGGCCCGCGCCGGGGGCCGCATCCGCTCGGAGCGCAGCTTCGGTAACCGCCCCTCCCGGACCCTTCGCGGGACCCACTTCCGAACCCGCTCAGGGAGCCCAACCGGCTGCGCCCGCGCTCGGCCCGGGGTCAACCTGCCCCGAAGCCTTGTCCGGCTGCCGAGTAAACCCCGCGCCCCGCGCCGCCCCCACTTCACCGGCCAAAGTTCACCGCGCCCCGAAACCCCGCGGCCCAGTGTCGGTCAGGATGGCGCCTGCCAGGGAAGGGAGCCCCTCGACCCCTGGGTCCCTCCCAGGCCCCTTTCTTCCCCTCGGGGCAGGCCGTCCCGCGGCCTCCCCGCCCGGTCGGTGGGCTCTGCCCTGGGCACCGCGCGGCGCTGCAGCTGGGCTTCAGGGCGTACTTGGTGGGGCGGGGCGGGCGTGGTCCCGCAGGCGGACTCGGGTGGCCTTTCTGGGGAGGGGACCTCCAGGCGGCGTCTCCTGACCCCCAGGTGGCGTGGTGGAGCTGGGCGCGCACTGGATCCACGGGCCCTCCCCGGGCAACCCCGTCTTCCAGTTGGCCGCCAGCTACGGGCTCCTGGGGGACAAGGAGCTGTCGGAGGAGAACCAGCGGGTCGAGACCGGGGGCCACGTGGGCCTGCCCTCCGTGAGCTACACAGGCTCCGGGGCCCGCGTGAGCTTTGAGCTGGTGGCAGAGATGGCCCGTCTGTTCTACGGTCTGATAGACCAGACCCGAGAGTTCCTGCACGCGGCGGAGACCCCGGCGCCCAGTGTGGGGCAGTTCCTCAGGAAGGAGGTCAGGCGACACGCGGCCGGCTGGACGGAGGACGAGGACTCCAAGCAGCTCAGACTGGCCATCCTGAACGCCTTCCTTAACGTGGAGTGCTGCGTGAGCGGCACCCACAGCATGGACCTGGTTGCCCTAGCGCCCTTTGGGGAGTACACTGTGCTGCCGGGGCTGGACTGCACCTTTTCTGGGTATGTTTGTGGCCCCCACCTGCCCAAGCCTCCCTACACGTCCCCCAGGGCCAGTGGGATGGCCGGGCCCTGCCTGCCTCTGCCTCTGCCTTTGAGAGGCACAGGGGGTGGGGGAGGGGCTGGAGGCTGTTTGCCCCCCCCCCATTCAGAGAAATTGGTTAACTTCCCTAGTTTTGCTCATTTAAGCAAAAAAGGAGTTATTTTCAAGAGAGAGTGATTTATAACAAGGTCAAGGGTTTGGATCTCCTTACCAGCCAGCCACCAAAAAAAGGAGAGAGTGATTTAAGGAAGGAAGGTGTCTTGCGATGCTTTCTTCCTCCCATATTTACTGAGGCCACTTATATGCCAAGTGTTATGTGAGGGCCTTCAACTGCACAGGGGGCCAAGGAGGCCCCCGCCCCTCGCAGGCGGCTGGCCCCTAACAGGCTCAGGCAAGACCCTCTGCAGGGCTGTCCTGCTGGACTCTCCCAGGTATTGTCAGCCCAGAGCTCCTGCCCCGGAACAGCCATTTGTGACTTTGGAAATGCACACAACAAGAACTCTGGGCGCGTGAGAATGGTGTCCTTGTTCTCGTCTGGTCACCTTGTGAGCTTTGGGTGCATTCGCTCACTTAGCCCTCCCATTAGCCCAGGAGGTGAGTATTAGCAGTGCCGCAGTACACAAGGACAACCGCAGTGGAACCCTGCATGCTAGGAGGACTGCAGTGGTCACTTTGATGTCAGGGGAGCTTGGAGGGCAAACATCCACCAGTCCTACCCTTTCAGGGACTGGTCCTCTAAACATCAACACTTCCGTCTCTCCTAGGGGCTACCAAGGACTCACAAACCACATGATGGCCTCCTTGCCGAAGGATGTGATGATTTTTAACAAGCCTGTGAAGACCATTCACTGGAATGGTTCCTTCCAGGAGTCGGCGTTTCCTGGGGAGACCTTTCCGGTGCTGGTGGAATGTGAGGATGGAGGCCGTTTCCCAGCCCACCATGTCATCGTCACGGTGCCTTTAGGTAGAGCCCACTTCTCTGGTCAGGATTTTAGTCCAAATCCCCATCCCAGGTCACCCTGGCCTCCGGTCTTACCCTGCCTCAGTTGGCTGTGGGGCGTCTGCTTGGCTACTAAGCTCACATTTTCATCCTAATACTTTTCAGGTAGATGGAAGGAATTACTCTATTATGTTTTGTAGCAATTGCATGCTTTGGAATTCAGGGTTTTTCAGTAAGAGAAAATGCAAGTAAGTGCATGTCTTGCTTGTTTGCGAGTAATTGCAGAGGTTGGGACAGCCTCCAGAAGTGATGAAGCTGCGGTTTCTTGGAGACAGGAAAGGGCACCAAGAATCCAGTCTCCAGGTTGGGGGTAAGTGCATGTCTTGCTTGTTTGCGAGTAATTGCAGAGGTTGGGACAGCCTCCAGAAGTGACGAAGCTGCGGTTTCTTGGAGACAGGAAAGGGCACCAAGAATCCAGTCTCCAGGTTGGGGCTGGTGGTGATCTGTGGAAGGAGCCACATATAAAATTCTACTTAATTCCAGATGTGGTGCCTCGGGCACGAGTCTGTGAGTGGAAGTTGTCTGACAGTTTGATAGAAGGTGGGTATGGTTGAACACAGAGGTACGGGACAGTTGCCATTGGCAGAACACTAGCCTCATGTGGGCATCACGCTGCCATCAGCCTCTGCCTGCACTGCCTGGTTTTATTCTCACGGTGGCAACGGGCGGCGTCTGTCACTGTCTCTTGCTTGACACTTGTGAACGTCTAGACAGAGGGGGTTCACTTAATTGCCCAAGTTCACGAAGCTTGCAAGAGTGGGAGCTGATCTGGGAATCTAGGCTGGGCCAGAGGACAGAGTACGTCCCCGCTCCGTGGCTGCAGTGACTGCTGTGACTACTGTGTGTCCTTTCAGCAGGTGCAGGTATGGTTGAGCTCTGCGCCCTGCTCCTGCTTCCCACAAATGGAATCATATCAGACATAGTAACACCTGCTGCTCAGTTTGCCTCGTTTTTACCTTTTCTTAAAACTTTTTTTCACTTTTTGTTGTTGTTGTTTCTTAACAGCAGTGGCTTTGTTCCTTTGTATTTGCTGGGCATACTCAGCCTGCTGAGTGCTAATCACTGGGGATACATTGTTGTAACTGTGTCACAAGGAGCCAGGTCACGTGTCACATTAGCTCTTTACAGTCACATAGTATTTTATTGTGTGTAGATGTCATTGTTTCATAAATATTGCTGGAAATTTAGGTGGCTTTTTTCTATTTCACACATGTTTTACATGTGCATTTAGAAACGCTGTGTCAACATTGCTGTAGAGTAAGTTCCAGCAGTGGGAGTTGGTGGTTGAAGATCTGGGCAGACAGGGGCTGCCTTGGAGGCAGGGTGATCGTGTTGTGCATCCCTGCAGCTGCAGCATGTTGGGGTGCCAGCCCCCCTGCTTCCTGCCTGTGGATGACCTTTGCTGTCAGCTGGTTCCTCTTGTTTTTCCTGACTTGCAAGTATCTGAAGGAAATTGGCTCATGGTTGTGCTGCAGATACTTCATCCTGCTGTCTGAGTTTGCTGCTGTGCGCTGCTCACCCTATTGTCATCTGCCTTTGGGCTAAATTTATTTATTTTTGCCATGCAGATTAATTTTTCTGTAGCTTCTGGATAAAGCCTGTATTTTTACCTACTACTCCAAACCTTTTTTCGTGTCTGGCAACGGATCGCAACCCTCAGTGTCGCACCCGTACCGGACCGGGACCGGCAACGGGATCGCAACCCTTGGTGTTGTGCCCGCACCTCGCTCAGCCAGTGAGCGGGAACCGGTCTGTATGTGGGATCCGAACCCTCAGCGGGAGCGCCACCACGCTCCCAAGCGGCGCACTGTAGCAGTGCGCCACCGGGCCGGCCCAGTAACATTTTTTTTTAAATGAAAAATATACTCAAAATTTAATGAGAGAGGTGGCAGTTTTGTCTTTTCTGCAAATCTCTCTAATATGTGTCTTCATAGGAGACAGCTGGATTCTCAGAGCTGTTTCTGCATTTATTCGTCATGATGTTTTATTCTGGTTGCAGAATATGAAGAAAGTCTGGATCTGCACAGATATGTAGTTGGAAGAAGGGAGTAATATTTAAATAGTTTTTCAGGTGTTTGTGGATATTCTTTGATATTGCACTGAAACTCGAGAAGTGTCAGTTCCTTAAAGGTTGGCCAAATGTGGAATCTGAGACTATATCAATGACTTTTTATACTCTGTTATACTGAAATCCATTTGTCTGTCTTGCACTTTGAATGGATCTTTTACCTACCCATGATTTTGGTCATTCAGAGAATATTGGGGTGGCCGGTTAGTTCAGTTGGATAGAGGTGGTGCTGATAACACTAAGATCCAGGGTTGGATCCCTGTACCTGCCAGCTGCCACCCATCCAAAAAAAATTATAGAAAACATGGGTTCATGCAGTGTTCGAAAAGTTGACACATTTCAGCATACAATATCGAAAAATTAAGTTTGTTAATATCACCACTGATCTCAGAAGTCTTTCAGAATTGGGAAAGCTGTTGATGGCAGAGACACGTTTTCTGAAATTCTAATTTTTGCTTGAGAGCTTACATTTTATCATTGTCAGTAAATAGTGCTTGCTAGTTGTTTTCCTGTGACAGACACACTTGGCTTATTGTCAAGAAAATTTTGGCCAAGCACCCCAGCCTGAATACTGTGGTTCATCTGTCAGTTGTTCTTTGGAGTACAGTGGTGCTGGCTGGGTTTTGTGCCAGTTCAGGTGGCCGCTCTGTGGCCGCGGGCGTCCTCCCCAACAGCTGCGTGCTGTTTCCTCTCTTCACACGGTTATTGAAAAGACTGTGCTCAAGGGTCAAGATTTAATGAAGTTAGTGACTCTCACTGCTTGAGTGGCACTGGCACTTCTCCCTGTGCGTGCTGGTGCCGCTGCAGCCCATGCTCTGCCAGGCGACGGTTCCTCATGTAGCACCGGCGTGCCACACAAACATTGACCTAGTGCCAACAGCAGGTGCCATCTCAGTGCTGTGGAAATAGTTCTGATCTCACATGGTCCGGGACCCCCAGGAGTTCATGGCCCACACTCTGAGAACCGCTGCCCTGAGGAGGGCCCACGATGGGCCACTCTGTGAGGGGTGGGGTGGGGTGGGGTGGGGGGCTCCCAGCACGGTTGCTGTGTCCTTGCGGGGAGACGGGCGGAGAGCTGGGCTGGATGTAGCTAGCTGGGCTCCATGGTCTTCCTCTCCACGCAGGTCTGTGCACGTCCTCTGCGGCTTCATTGCTGGGCTTGAGTCTGAGTTTATGGAGACTCTGTCGGATGAAGAAGTGCTTCTGTCTCTGACTCACGTGCTCCGGAGAGCGACAGGTACTGACCACGCACGGCAAAGCCACTGCCTCGTGCTGGCTGATCTCTAAAGGAACTCAACTTTTCACCACAGAGAAGAACTAAGTTGGGCTCTGTACATCTCCAGGGACAGTCCTTCCTCATATCAGTGGAGTCAGGAATAGTTCTTACCTCCCAGGAGCTGAAATGACTTAGCAGATGCTTTCCACTTAGTTTTTCTAAAATCTGCCACCCAAATAAGTGCAATTATCCTTAATCAGATGAAGAAGCTGAGGCTCAGACGCAGCACAGTTGCTCTGTCACAGCTATCCGGAGTTTAATGCCTGTCGAGCTAAGACAGAAAGGGCCTCTCAGGAGTACACGCTGTGGCTTGGTTTCCTTCCTGGGTAATGTCTTTCATTTTAAACTGCTCACTCTTTATTTATTTATTTTTTTAATTATTATTTTTTTTTGTCCTTTTTGAGACCGGCCGCACCGCGCTCAGCCAGTGAGTGCTGTGAGCGCACCGGCCATTCCTATATAGGATCCGAACCCTCGGTGCTGCACTCTCCCGAGTGTGCCGTCCTTTTTGAGACCGGCCGCACCGCGCTCAGCCAGTGAGTGCTGTGAGCGCACCGGCCATTCCTATATAGGATCCGAACCCTCGGTGCTGCACTCTCCCGAGTGTGCCACGGGCTCGGCCCAAAACTGCTCACTCTTTAAAATGAAGAACTAGTTGCAGACATGAAGGTGAGAGTCCTGGGTTAACGTGCTGCATCTCTGTGGTTCAGGAAACCCACAGCTCCCCGCACCCAAGAGTGTGCTGAGGTCTCGCTGGCACAGCGCTCCATACACCAGGGGCTCCTACAGCTATGTGGCTGTGGGCAGCACCGGGGACGATGTTGACCTGCTGGCTCAGCCCCTCCCTGCGGATGGCGCCGGTGCCCAGGTAAGATGGCATGCCCTAGGCATGGGGGCCATTGGGGTCTGCTGCAGAGGCCCCTGTAAAGGCTGAGAGCTGCTGGAGTGTGGGCAAGTAGTGGGTGGGTCTAGGACCCCCCTGAGACTCAGAAGCCATTTTCTTTTTGAAATTGAGAGTGATTTTTAAATGCATTGTTTTTATGAGAATTACACAGACACATAGCTTAATGAGGCAGAGAATTCTACAGTGCTGGCTAACAAAATAAAACAGAAATAGGGGTGAGGGTCACCTGCTTTCCCCTTCCCAGACTGTTGTAGCTGGTTCCAACTTCCAAACTTATCATATCTCTAAAACACATGTTTATGCTATCACTTTTTGAAAAGCATTTTATTATGAGAAACTTCAAATGTATACAAAAGTAGGTAGAACCCTTCAGTGCCCCCAGCTCCACCAGCTGTCAGTCCACATCCAGGCTCCCTGTTGTTATTAAGCACATCCCACATGTGACATCATTTCACCAGAAGATATTTCGGGGTGTATCTCTAAAAGATGAAAACAACCTTTTAAAATACATAACTATAATACTATTGTCACAGCTAAAAATTAACAATAATTCCTCAATATCACCCAATATAGTGTTCAGTTTTCTGGTCGTCTTACCTCTTTTTGGTCTGCCTGTTTGGTAACGTTACTTCCTGAGTTGTTGGTGTTGGGAACTGTTGACTAACTTCTCACTGCGGCCCACACCGATTTAACTTCCTTCCACTCCTCTGCCCAGCTGGACTCTCAGATCCCTTCCTCACCCTCCCCATGTGTGATCCTGTAATTTTGGTAAGGCCCCTGTTCAGTGATCTTGTTTGTGTGATCTTGTTTTCTCTAAACATTACTCACACCTGAGCTACATCTGCAGTGGTTCCTTTTCCTGCCCGTTGTAGGGGTGTGTGTGTGAGTGTGAGTCCGTGGGTCAGTGAGGGCGTGGGGCTCTGTTTTCTGTGTGTTTCTCTGCCAGGACTCTGCCAGCCATCTAAATCGCACCCCCATGCTAACCTGGCCCTTCTTTGCAGCTCCAGGTACTGTTTGCAGGGGAAGCCACACATCGGACATTTTACTCCACGACGCACGGGGCGCTGCTGTCCGGCTGGAGGGAGGCTGACCGCCTCATCAGTCTGTGGGACCCGCAGGGGCAGCCGCGCCGGCCCAGGCTCTGAGCTCGGCTCCCGTCTGTGCTGTCCCTCCTGTGCTGGGGAGGCTGGGACAGTGTTCAGTCTGGCTTGAGTCTGGGGATATTAATGAAAGTCAGCTTCTCATTTCTCAACCTGTGGCTGCAGTCTGGCCAGGGCTGAGCTGCTGAGCAGGAAGTCTTCCTGCAGGGAGGCACCGGGCGTACAGTAAAAGTACATTCAAGCCAACTTGTGTCCAGTCGTCCTTTGCCCCAGGGCTGTGGCAGTTCCTACTGTTATCTTTGTCTTGCTTTGGGCCCAGGGTGGAGCACACGGCCCCTCCTCTGGACTCCCTGGACTCTTGCCTGGAATCTTAAGGTGCCCCCGGAGTTCTCGTTGCTGGTGCCTAGGACCACAGTGCAGCTGATGAACCTCCCTGCCAAGGGTCAAGTGTGTCCCCCAAGGGTTGATGTGTTGGAAACTTGATATCTGTTGTAACAGTGTTGAGACTATGATATTTGAAAGGTGGAGCCTTGGAGAGGTGATTGGATTGTGAGGACTGCACCCTCATCAATGAATAACCCATTTAGGAAGTAATGGGTTGTCATAGGTATGGACTGGTGGCTTCATAAGGAGCACATGAGAAAGCTTTTGCCATCATAGCTATGTGATGGCTTGCGTCTCTGCGAGACCCTGGAGAGAGTACCCGCCTGAAGAAGGTCCTCGCCAGATGTGTTCCTGGGGCTGTGGACTTCCAGCCTCCAAAACTATACAAAATAAGTTGTGTTTTCTTGTAAATTACCTAGTCTCAGGTATTCTGTTATAAATGGACTAACACACTCCCCCTGCACGACAGGCACTGCCTCAGGCACCACCATGCAGTGCGTTGAGTCAGGGTAGAGGAAGGGGAGACAGAGGATGACTGGGGAGGGGACCACGTCCTGACCTGGGGCTGGAGGTTTTCTCGAGGAAGTAACAAACAGTAAGGCCTGAAGAGTGGGGGGG